CAGTATGGAAGAATAGATAGAGAGATATTTAATGTTAAAATGTATCTTTATTCTTTTATTGCTTAGTTAAAGGATTCTTTTGGAGATGAGTCCCACAAGTTACCGGAGAATTACACTGACAATGCACCTGCTAGGTATGTATATCCTCCCTCTCCTCTCTCTCTCTCCTCTCTCCCTCCCTCCCTCCCTCTCACTCTTTGTTTATAATGTAGGAGGAAGAGGTATGGTGTTGAACTACCACAATCAGCTATTAGAGACGATAGTCCATCAACAGTGAATGAGTAAGAAAGATTGTATTTCATAATATACATTCTACATGTACAGTATAGCCTCTCTTAATGGACACTCTCTATAGCATACACCTCCATTTAACGGACAGCACCTAGTGTACCAATTACATTCCTCACTGTATAAAATGACCTCCCCATAAAGGACACCTCTGTATAACAGATCTAGACACTTTCAAAGTGTCCATTATATAGAGGCTAGTCTGTATTACATTATTAGCTTGTGTACATTATGTACAGTTTGTGGGTTTCCAGTGAATACATGAGGTTTCTCCCCCTCCTCTTGTATGTACACATTAGGACTGATGGCATTCTATTAAAATAATAATAACTAATTTAATTTTAGACCTGATGGTCACTAGTCACCTTTATATGTTTATTTAATGTTAATTACTGGATAAGACACACATCCACAAGAGACAGCTACATCTACATGCACACACATAACATGCTGTACATGTACCTGTATCCTCTTTATTATAAGGCCCTGTCAGAGGTGTCCTTAATACAGAGGTGTCCTTATTTCAGAGGTACTTTTGTATAGGCTTGTACCAATTGGGACATTACAAAATGTCCTCATTATAAATGTGTCTTAATTCATTACACAACTGCTGGTTAATTGTTTCCTCATAAAAAGTACTAATAATGATTATACTGTAGAAGTAAGCCATATGTTCTGATAGTACACTATGGAGTGGCGTCTCTCTTCTATGCAGCTGTTACGTTTAAATCTTGTAATGTTTTACCCTCTCCTACACTAGTCATTCTCTTTATCCTTTGCCGCTTCTCATACTTATATTGTATCATTTAAATATTGTTCCTTTTTGTTGTATCTCTCCCCCTGTCTCCCTGTCTCTCCCCCTCGCTCTTGTCTCTCTTTTTTTCTTTTTCCCATTATTTATTTACATGTACATTGTATGTCTGAGATTATAATTATAGTACTCCATTACATTATACTCCCCCTTCTCTCTCTTTCTCTCCCCCT